GCAAGGGAGCATTGAGTGTGTGGCCCTGTGCCAGCACTGGGCGGCCCTAGCCAGTGCCAGCGAGGCTGAACGGAGCTCCCTCTCGTGTCTAGTTCTCTGCTCTGGCAGGCAAAGGAGATGCGAAACCTTCTGTGAGGCTGCAGCAGGAAATGGCAGGAGAAGATTTCACTTCTCTATTAACGTGAAGTCTGAGGGAGTTTTTTAGAATAAAGCAGGACAGAAAACCCAGAGACCTGAGCTTAGCAAAGCAATTTTTTCCTTCCTCTCCTCCTCCCAACCCTACTATTTTTACAGATACAGGTCTGTCTTCCCACCTCCAGCCAGCTCAAAAGAATGTTTCAGATGCCCTGTCATTGTTGATTATGTAGCACTAAGACTGAAGAAGTTATGTTGTCTTTCTTTTACAGCCACTACGCAACTGCCCCAAGAGGAAGCCCTCTCCCTTCCCACTGCCTCTTCCCTTAGCCTGGCCACATGTCTGCAGGCGACTTGTCCCAGTGCTTATGTGCAAAGCATTACAGGGAATACCGGAGCTGGGAGAAATGGACTCTGTCCCCACATCACTTCACTTGTAGGTCAGTTGTGGAGTGAAAACAAACACTTTTAAAGAGAAGAGTCTATGTTAAAGCAAGTAAGCAATAAGGCCAGAAGACTTAAAAGAGAAATCATTGTGGGCATGTGGACAGGGAGTCCTCTCCACTGAGAGGGCCTGCAGGGGAGCCGTGACTACTGGCTGGGTTCATACACGGGGAGAGGAAGGCAGTTCGCATCACAGACCTGGTACGTAGCTCCACAGCTTGGCGATGCTGTGAGGTGTTACCGGGGAAGAGGGGTCCTACGAAGAGCCTGGGCTGGCTGACACAAAACAAGCTGCAATAACGTCACTGGCATTGCACATTGAAGGAAGTCACAAATGTGGTCTCTTGCTTTTTCTGAGTATGGCCATAATGATAAATCTCTTTAGGCACCTCCTAAAGTTGCTTCATGTAAGTTCTTAGGTTCCTCTTCTAGATAGATGGTTTTAACTCAAGCCTCCATTTTATAAACACAAAAATTGCTCAACCAATCAATCGTTTGTAATCTAAAACCAGTAGCATGAGACCACATTTGTGACTTCCTTCAGTGTCTTTTCAAAACTACACACACCTGCACCCTGCCAGGATTATATTACTTGCCCAGTCTGTCCCAGTCTCCCCCACCCCCTACATCACCTCCACCCACACGCACCCCTCCCCTGTCAGGATTCACTGCTTTAGAACTCAACTCTGACCCCTGGGTTACAGCTGCTATAGCTAGTTTGACATCCTTCTATCCTGCAGCGAAATTACTTGAACTACTAGGGGATGGTCTATTTGATTTGCCACCACAGCTCTTAAAGAATATTATCTCCATTTTACCCATGAGAGAATGGAGGCAGAGGGAGGTCAAGTGGTTGCTCAGATTTACCCAGATAGTAAGTAATAGAACCATGACTTGAACTCAGGATTTATAACTCTAAATCCCATATTCCTAATAATCAATGTAAAAAATGATTGAAAATTACCTACCATTTATCATAGCAAGAAAAACCATAGCATGTTTAGGAATTAACATATGAAAGTATAAGAACTTTATGAAAAAAGAAAAATTTTATTAAAGTACATAAATGAAGATCTGACAAGTAGAGAGATATACCATATTCATGGATGGGCCATCCTAACATAATAACAATCTCTCCCCACATCTATAACCTAAATGCTACCCCAACCAAAATCATGGCAGGATTTGGGAACAATCTGACAAACTGATTCTAAAATGTACATAAAAATAAAGTCTGTGAGTATTTTAGACAATTTTGGTAAAGAAAAGCAAAATGATGGTGGTGGGATGGTAAGGAAATGGAGACTAGTCCTACCAAATAGTATTAATAACACATACTAAAAAGACAAAATAATTAAGCAATGTGATATTGACATAGGAAGTGACAAATCAGTGGACCTGAATAATCCAAAGACAAATCTATGCACATAGGGAAGCTTGGTATAAAATCCTTGGATATAAATGGAATGTTTGGTAAATGGTATTCACAAGATCAATTTACTATTTTGAGGGAGAAGAAAGTTGTATCCTTACACCATATAGAAAATTTTCGGATCAATAAGATCTAAATGTGAACAGAAAACAATAATACTAACAGAAGAAAACATAATGAAATATTATATGTCCACATAAATATAAGGCAAAGCTTTTTTACCCAAAATTATTTATCAGAAAATAGGGAAATATCTTATATATAAGACCTTATATTTTTCCAAATTATGGGCACTCTCTCAAAGTTGTTTGGGGAAGATACATTACCCTAAAATGATCTCAGTTAATAAATGCATGGGAATAGGAATAAAATTGATGTATGAAATGTGCGGGTGGAAACAGCCCTCATTACAATGTTTAAAAAAAGTGATTTTAAATTTGCGAGTTACTAACTAAATAAATGTAATTAGCAGACATTTGACTATTTCCGTATAACTTCTATATTCCTAAAACTTTGTAAATTGAAATTGAAAAGAAACTTAAAATATTCTCATTGAGAAAGTGGAGCATCACTGTATCACTTTCTATTCCACAAAAAATTGTAACTTTACCGCCTTGAGGTTGGAAAGGATTTCTTAAGATCACATAAGCACAAACCATAAGGGTGTTGACTGTTAAAATTAAATAATTCTATTCAGGGAAGGAATTATATACAAATTTAACTAATGAGCAGCAAACTGGAAGAAAGCATTTGTAATAGCTATGCTGATGTAACATTACTGTATAGAATATATATATATATCCCAAATTCACAAGAAAAAGACAGAAAATGAAATTGTAAAACAGACAAAAGATATGAGTCAGCAATTTACAGAGAGAGAAGAACCTATGAAAAAATGCCCTCACTAGTAATGAGAGAAGGCAAATTAAAGCAAGATAACACTCTACACCCACCATGTTGCCGACATTTGAAAGTCAAATAATTTCAGGTATTAGTGAGGATAAAGGGAAATGAGAACTCTCTTGCTGTGTTGGTGGGAGTGTAAACTGTTTATGATCCCTGAAATATAGAAATTATAAATTAGTTGGGTGAAAAAATTAACATAGGAAATAAGGCAGCATATCCCAATCCTTGGGTTCAGTGCTCTAAGTCTTGGAAGAGTTCAGTAAAGATCAGTCAGGGCTGGAGAATTAGGGACAGGTTCATGGAAGAGGTTGAACTTGAGTAGGACCTATAGAGTTGGTTAAGACAGGAACAAGCTGAGCAGAATAAAGAAGGCATTCCCATCAGAGGAGAGAGCCTGGGCGCATGGCCTAAGGTGAAGACAGGCATCGTACTGACAAGGAAGAGTGAGGAAAACAGATTTATTCAAGAACCTGACTTCTGCTGGGAATAGTGGGTAATATCTTTTATTAGAAAAAGGCAATCTGCAGCCATACCTCCCTGAAAGTGCCCAATCTTGTCTGATCTCGGAAGCTAAGCAGCATTGGGCCTTGTTGGTACTTGGATGGGAGAAAAGGATCGCCAGACTAGAGAGGATATTGAATGCTTCTGGAGTATTTAAGGGACAGTATCATAGACTACTTGATCAGAGAGCATCTATTCTAAACCCATCATTTTAGTTGAGGAATGCGAGGCCCAGAGAGGGAAGTGACTTGCCTAAGGTCACATAGCATAATAAAAGCAGTTTTAAGGTTTGACTGGCAAGAAATTTCTGGATAAGTTGAGAAACAGAGAGATAGAAATTAGTAAGAGCTAGAAAGCAACAAGGAACAGGTTTAGAATGGCAAAATGAGAATAAAAATAAAAACATCTCAAAGGGAGAAAATACAATACTTGAAGGTAGGTTCAAAGTATGTTGCAAAAAAGAGAAAGAAGTCAACGACACTACTAAATTCTCCTATGAAAATCAAGACAAATAGTGATAATTCTAGGTTATCAAGCACCTTTTCTATGTGCCAAACACTGTTCTAAGCATCCTGCAGATACTAACTTATTTAAGCTTCACAGCAACTGTATAAAGTAGACACCATTGTTATCATGATCCTTTTACAGAAAATGATACCAAGGTACAAGGTAAGTAACTTGCCCAAGGGCACACAGCTAACAATTTAACAGTCGTGACTGAATTCCCAGCAGTCTGATTCTAGAGCCCACACTTCTTACCCAGTACACACGCTGCTTTTGGAAATGAGATGGTTCAGAGGAGGTGTCAACTTCTCTAAGGGAGAATTGGATATTTCCCCTTAGATTAGACTCTGGTACAATGTGAAGAACAGAGAATCCCTCACCAATATCAAAGTAACTTCACTCCTAACTTTAATGCCACCCTGTCCTCCAAAGCAACTCTAGACCCTAATGAAAACAAGAAATAAAGCACATGCACAGTAATTTACCACCAGTCACGTGCTGCCTGCTCCCGTGATCCACCCAGGATGGTACCGTCGCAGTTCTCCTTGAATGGTTCACTCAAGCCAAAGAACAGATCTTCTGGAAGGACACGTGAATTCTTTGCCCTTCCAGGCTGTTCCCACTGCACCTTAGGAGCTCGATGATGCTGTTTTCATGGAACTGATTTGACCGGATTAGGAGAGCCCCTGGCGGCTCCTTCTTCCCGTCCAAAGCTCCTGTATCCCCGGTTATGGCGAGGACTCAAGGGAGCCATGTGTTGCTCAAGGCAGCCTAGACTAGACATAAATGTTTTCACAAACAGTAAAATGCAAAAAAAAAAAAACACCAAAACCAAAAAACAAGCACCTTCCTCAACCATTTTGTGAGCAGATTATCAGAAAATAGCTCTGCCGTCATTTCTTACATATTTTGCACAAACCAACAGACATAAAATCCATCGTGCAGTGCTGAGGGGTTTTCCCTATTTCTCTCCCTGAGGAGGGCAAGCTGTGTTCAGGTTAAGGCATGCTGAATTTCAAATGACAACCCACTCTGGAAACAAATACCATGAGTTAAGAAAGAAGCCACACTGATATTCAGAAACGAGATTTATTGCCTTGAAGGGAGAAGGGACGTGGTTGTGACAAGCAGCCCACTCTGGGCTCCCTGGGATGCAGGCCCAGAGACAGCAGAGCCCCCATTTGGGAAACCCACACACGTAAGCCCTGGGGGATCCCAGGGACCTCTTCCCCCCTGAGAAGGAGACATCCTGGGCAGGATGTAAGAAACCTGAGCACTCTCTGTTTGGATGGCTGAAGCTGTTGGCATCAAACTCTGGTCGGGAAGAATCAGTCTGAGGAGAGAGGGGGAAGGAGGAAAGCCGTTAGGGGATCCTCCTCCTCCCGAAGGACTTGCTCGCCCTGCCTGCAGCACACCCCACAGAGGCTGATCTTTTCTTGTCCCCAAATCCTCTCCAGGGACCTTTCCTACAGCTCCTCATATCACTCCTCTCCCACTCAAAGCCATTCTTGTGACCTTTAACTGTGTGTGTACCAGGTCTCCACCTAGGAGGAAGTGCCCCATGGTGCTGGATGCGGGCCCCCAAGGGCCCGAGGATCCCTCTGTGTCCCCCCATGCCACAGAATAATCCTTACACGTGCACACACGCGTCACTGTATCTGGCTTCCACAGCTCACCCCCCTCTCCAGATGACATACCACCTGAGCAAGGCTTGCGGAAGTAGATGATGAGGACAGCGCCCACAATGATGCCCAGCACACCCAGGCCAAAGGCCACGCCACACAGCACATTCTCCAGGAGATCTGAGGGCAGTGCATTCCGGGGCACTGGAGGGGAGGGAAGCAGGTCAGTCTGGAGATGTGGTTAGGGAGCCTCCCACCCGGGGAATGACTTGGATGTCTGGGATGACAAGGGAGAAACTGAGGCATGGAAGATTGAGTCTGGGTTAGAGTAAGAATGGATTAAACAAAGTCCAAGTAGAGGAAGAAGGCCCCTCCCATAGGTCTATCCCTTTTTGCCCCTGAAAGGACCAGACTTCTAGGGAAAGGGCCTCACCCCAATAGGCAATTGCTGTGTAGCGGTCAATTTCATGAGTCACTATGCAGGAGAAAATGTCAGAGGGTTCCGGGGTGAAGTTTAAGTAAGAAAAGGCCTGGAAGGTGAGTCCGTCAATGGCTGAGACGAAAGTGGGCCCAACTCCTTCCACGGGGGTGGAGTGATGCTGCCAGTTCACCGTCAACGTGGGTGGGAAGAGATTACTGACAAAACAGACCAGCGTGTTGGGCTTGCCAAACTCCAGGGGCTTCATTGTGAATACCTCAGCGATAGGGAACCCTGGTGGGGGGATCGAGGTGTGAAGGAAAGAAGAGACTAGTTTAGACGGTACCTCTGTGTTTTGAGGGGTCATGGCACACAGAGGGCAGGGCAGACTTAGTGGGCTGGGCTTTGGGAGGTGGAGATGAGGGTGGAGTTGGGGCCCAGCGGGAGGTCTTCTTCCAGGTAAGAACCGAAGCTAGATCTAGAAGGAGAGCCAGATCCAGGCCACTCTGGACCCCTCCACCCTGACTTCCTGCAGCACTTCCTGTCTAGAGCTCACACCGGCATCTAACCATACACTGTCGCCACATTAAAACACAGGCGCATCATCAGACGCTTCCATTCTCCCCTTCCATCTTGCTGGGCATAGTAGTATAAGTGCTAATATTCAGGAGGCAGCAAACGATCCCTGTTGAATTCATCAAGTTCAATAAATAGTTTTGAATGTCTACTACACGCTAGGCACTTGTCTTCTGCCCACAACAAAACATCGGTTGCAGACCAAGGCTTGTGGAAAATCTGAGGTCCCGCGGAGAACCTGAAGGCATTAGAGACGGGGAGCTCATGTGAAGGGGAATCGTTCAGTGTACAGAGTAATGAGGTTAAGAATGCAGCCCTCCTCCCTTCACTCCCCAAACACTCCTGACCTCTGGACACTGGGATTTTCCCATCAAGCTTTGGGCCTATTTGCTGGATCATCATCTGGCAGAAGCCTGTGTCAAATAAGATAGCAGAGGCATCGCTCTGTTCCTCAGTCCACTTGGCAAATTCAGGCAGGCGAGGAACTCGGGTGTTGCGGGAAAAGTCGAAGGAGAAAAGCTGGTCCTCATCATAGGTCTCAGAGAGCCCCACGCCGGGACTCCCATACTGACAGTACACCGTGTGCAAGAACGTGTGGTTCTGCAGGTCATCCCGCCACACTGGAGTAGGAGCTGCAAAGGAGACAGGGCGCAGTTCAGGGAGGTGGGAACCTCCTCCTCCTCTTTAACTTAGAAAACCTCAAGGCCTGCTTCAGGGAGTGAGGGCCGAGGTGTGGCATAACCCTCTCTCCCGTGTCTGTGATTTGTCTTCCCCTCCCAATGCGGTGAAGAAGAAATTACAGGATCTCTCCAAACTTCCTCTCCCCATAAAACTGTCTAAAGTTGTAAAAAGTAAAAAAAGGCTTACTGTCTACAGTGACAGATTCAGAGTCATTCTGTTGGCTATATGTCTGTGCACTGCACAAGGGCACCCAGCCGAAGCAGCAAGTGGAAGCCAAATCTAGCCTGCACTCTGCTCACCATGCCGTGTGTCCTGGCACAGGGCTGCATCCTCCCAAAGGCGACTCCTCTATCTAACTGACATACGGCCACCATACTGAAGTTTATGGATGGGCTTCCCGGTCTTAGAAGGGAGGGAGAAGGAATGGCTATGGTCTCCCCATGTCATACATGGGACTGCCTCACCTACCCCCAGAAACCAATGGTAAACTAAGAAACCAGCCTCCAGACACTTCTTTAGCCCCTTCATTGGCACCAGGTCTCTCTGAAAATGCTTTCCCCTCCTTTAGTGCTTCATACCTCCCAGTGGCAGGATCGGGGGAAGGGACCCCATAACTGCAGGAAATAATCCCTCTTCTATGAAACTCTTGGCAGGATCCCCAGCCAGCAGGAAACCTTCTACCCAACACACAGAATAACACAGTAAGAGGGATCTTCCAGATTATTCCTCCATTCTACCCTGTCCTCCACAGAGCAGGAAACTAAGGACCAATAAAGGGAGGAGACTTTTCAACAATCACAAGGTGAGTTAATGACAGAAGGCAGAGTGGAATCCTGAGTGGAGGAGTGAAAATATTAGTAACATTCGTTGAGAGCAAATCCCAGTCTACCACTTGCCAGTGGTGTGGTCTTGCACAAATAACGCTGCGTCTCATTGTTTTCATTTGTGAAATGGAGGGCATGATCTCTGCTTCCAGAGACTATCTTAAATGGAACATGTAATGCACTCTGACATTGTTTACCGTCCACCAACAGTAGCTCCCTTTCCCAATTCTGTATTGTTTCCACTATCTCCTAAGGCTCCCCACCATTTACAAAGCACAGGGCTGTTCCTCAGACGCTCTGGTGGGCTCCCCAGCACCAATGCTGTCAGGGTGGAAGTAAAGGAGAGGGACTATCTTACCTTCAGGGATGGCCCTGGAGTGGGGCAGCAGCCACAGAAGTTGCAGGAGCTGTAGCAGCGCAGCTCCTCGGCTCTGCCCATGAGCCATGTCTTCACACCGCACAGTAGGCAGGAGCTACCAACCCAGCTACCCAGGTCCCCCAGCTCTCGCCCCCAGACGGTAGCTTAGATCCTGTTTCACCAGCTCATTTCCAATAGTTACCCTTGTCATTTTGTCTAAACCAATCACAGAAGTGTAGGGTTTAACATCATCAGTCGCTGGGGAGAGACCAGGGGCCAGCAACCTCCTCAAGACTTGGCTCTTTGATCAGGCCAGAGTGTGGCATGTAACCAGGCTGGGAGGGCCAGCCGGGCAATGTCTGCCTCCTGGTGGAATTCCCTCTTTAGTCTCAGGCTGTCGGCCTCAGCCCCCAAACGGACTGGCTGGCTCTTCAGAGCAGCGCCGCCTCGTGGCAGAATGCAGCAGTGGGATGGCATCTTCCCACAGCAACCCCCCACGTCTTCAGACCCCGCTCCTCCTCCCTCCTGGCCCTCTCCTCTTTCTCCGCCAGGTTATGCTCCTCCAGGCATGAGCTCTAATTCGTTCTGCAGAAATATACTGAAGACTGAGTATTGGGCCCAGTGCCAGAAATACAAAGATGAATAAGGTGTATTCCTGCCTTCAAAGAACTTAGAGTCTTGGGGTGGGGGTAAAGGGGTGGAATCAATGAATAAATAATTACATGACAATGTAATGTATTCAAGTAAGAATGCGCCAAGTGTTTTGGAAGCAGGAGTAATTTTGCGAGGATGGGGGAATAGGTGGAACATAATCAGGCAGGCTCCTAAGAGTCCTGACGGTAAAACAATTTGACCAGCAGAATGTGAGGGGAAAGGAAAGCATTCCAGGGCAAGGGGTAGGCGGATGTGCGACGTTCAAAGGCGTCCAGAGCTCCTCTTTGGAGACCCTTATGTCCTAGTTGATGTGAATGTTGTGACGGCTGCTCGTGTGTCCTGTGTGGTAATGGGGGTCCTGAGGGTAGCGGGTGTCAGGATGAGCTAGAAACTCAGGCAAGAGCCAGATCCCATAGGCCCTGGTACGCACAGGAGGGGCTTGTCTTCACTTAGCAGATGATAGAGACATTACAAGTGGGGAGGGAGTGAGGCTGGGTGCGTTGGCGTGCGCCTGTAGTCTCTAGCACTTTGGGAGGACGAGGCGGGAGGATCGCTTGAGGCCAGGAGTTGGAGGCTGCAGTGAGCTGTGATCAGGCCACTGCACTCCAGCCCAGGTTACAGAGCAAGACTCTGCCTGTAAAAAAAAACTGGGGAGTGACACAACCATTTTAGCATTTTAGAAAAGTTCTGATTGATGCTTCAAAATAATGAACTAGAGCTTGGAAAGAATTGAGGCAAACTGCTGGTCAAGAGTCTACAGCACATTATGTCAAGGAACAAAGTTACACACCCACACACCCACCCTCTTGTAGCAAGCAATATAGCAATAATTTAAGTGAGAGATGGTAAGAGCCTGAATTAACTCAGAATCAGAGGAGACGGAGGGGACAGAATATTGAGATAATTAGGAAGTAGAATCTAAAGGGTTGGCTACTGATTAGATGTGGGAACGTGAGAAGATGGGGGAGTCAAGGATAACTTCCAGGTTTCTCGTGTGGGTGGCTGGGTGGGTGGTCAGTGATGGACCGAATTGAAGCAGAAAAAAAATGCCATGGGAGCAGGTTTAAAGAGGAAGAGAATGAGTTCGATTTTGTACGTGAGTTTGAAATGCCAGCAGAACCGCCAGCTGAAGCAGCGCAGGAGGCAGCGAGGTGTAGGGTACGAATCCCAGGCAGGGGCTGCAGAAGCTGCCTCAAGAGTCATCAGCACAAATGTTGACGCACAGGCCGTGGAAAAAGTCACCCACATAAACCGTGCGGAAGGAGCAGGAGGTGAAGCCAGGACGTAAGTAAGCATGGGTTCAACCCCCAAACTTCATACAAGTTGCCATCCAAGATCCAGTCGGGAATACGTAGCCACTCTGTGTACTTCAGACTGAGAGAATGTAACGTAGACAATTGGTTACAAAAGTGTTAAAAGGGCAAGCGGTGGCCGGGCGCGGTGGCTCACGCCTGTAATCCTAGCTCTCTGGGAGGCCAGGGCGGGCGGATTGTTTGAGCTCAGGAGTTCGAGACCAGCCTGAGCAAGAGTGAGACCCCGTCTCTACTAAAATTAGAAAGAAATTAACTGGACAACTAAAAATATATAGAAAAAATTAGCCAGGCATGGTGGCGCATGCCTGTAGTCCCAGCTACTCGGGAGGCTAAGGAAGGAGGATCGCTTGAGCCCAGGAGTTTGAAGTTGCTGTGAGCTAGGATGACGCCACGGCACTCTAGCCCGGGCAACACAGTGAGACTCTGTCTCAAAAAAAAAAAAAAAAATGGGCAAGCGGTGCAAAAAGGAGGAAGGTCCTAGAAGGGCAAATAGAAAAAAAGATCAGTACCTGGAAATCAGAAACTGCCATCGCCCCTGAACTGAAATCCACAAATCTACACCTGCTGCTGCCCCGTGGGAGACACTGTCACAGTCAGTTCTGATCTACTAAAAAGGTGCCACCTCCACCAAGGCTAGAATCATTGAGAAAGTACTTCTGCCCAGGACGCTGGAATCCAGAGTCACCCATTCTCCCTGCAGCTACATCTACCAGCAATTGCCAGCAACTGTCACCCTGTTAGAGGCTGAAGCAGGAAGCTTCTCAGTTTCTTCTGCCTCCTGCTCTCCCGCCAGCGCCTCCTATTGGCAGAATCTAAGAGGAGGCCAGGAATCCTGGGAAACATACCTGCCGCCTCCTGGGCAGAGACGTTCAAAACACAGCATAGGAGGGTGGGTGTGGCACTGAGACAACAGATAATAACCAGTACGCTGAAATACGCTAATCTGTAAGAACCTGGTGGCACCAGGAGCATCCAGAAAGCTAAGAGAAGAACAAGGAGGAAGTAGATCCCAGAAGCAAAGAGGTGTTCTATTGAGGAGGGCAAGGTCAGCCTTATGAATGCTACTCAAAAGGCAAGGAAGGACTGAGAAGTGTCCTGAGATTTGGTGATTAGGAGATGGCTGGCAAATTTATAGAGAGCAGCCTCAGTGTTGCAGTGGGAGTCAACTCCAGATTGTGGTGGGCTGAGAAGGAAGTGGGAGGTGAGGAAGAAACTGTCAGTGTATAGGCTTCAAGTTTGAGAGAGAAAAGAAAAAGACAGAAGGGCTGGGGGAAGAGGCAGTGAGAAAGCTCTAATGTGGCAATTAAGTAATCTGAGAAATTAATCCATGTGAGTACGATCCATCAGTCTTTCTGAGACCTTCAAAATTGGTACACCCACCCACCCCCATTTTTTTGGAGATGAAGTTGCTGTGTTACCCGGGCTGGAAAGCAGTGGCTACTCACAGGTGTGATTATAGCACACCGCAGCCCTAAACTCCTGGCCTCAGGGATCCTCCTGCCTCAGCCTCCCCAGTAGCTAGGACTACTGGCCCGTGCCACCATGCCCCGCTTCTTACCCCCTTTTGATAAACAAATAACAGCAGCAGTAACAGCCAAAAATAAACACAAAAGCAATCCCTTGACCTCCTGAATATTCTGGGACAGCAACACATGCGTGTCTGTGTGGTAGAGGCAGGGTGCCAGGGAAGCAGTAGGGTTTAGAAACCAAAAAACAAAAGAACATTTCCCCAGTATCCCAACCTTTGTGGACTAATCCATCAGTAGTTCTGGTGGTAGGGAGATTCAAGCCCCTTAGGACAGTAGAAGGAAGTTTATGAGCCTAGCAGGACTGTAGGGGAAGATACGTGGCACACAGCCACCTAGAGTTCTAAACCAGGGGTCGGCAAACTTGTTCCGTAAAGGACCAGATGGTAAGTATTTTAGCCCTTGTGGACTACCCGATCTCTGTCGTGAGCATTCAGCTGTGGCACGAAAGCATCCACAAGCAGTATGTAAATGAAAGAGCGTGGCTGTGTCCCTGGTTTCCTGCTAGCTTTTCCTCCCACTTCTCCAGCAGCTCCTCCTCAGTCTCCTTTGCAACTCCTTTCTTTCGGCTACTCTTTAAATATTGGTGTTCCCTGGAGTTTTGTCCTCCAATCTCTTTATTTCTGGACACTAAAATTCGAATTTCATGTAATTTTCATGTGTCATGAAATATTCTTTTGCTCTTTTTCAACTATTTAAAAATGTAAAGACCATTCTTAGCTTCTAGGCCATTTAAAAACAAGTGGTTGGCAAGATTTTGCTCACAGCCCATAGTTTGCTGAATGATATTCTATGCATGTGGTCAGAACTGGGATAAAAATAAGCCCATTCTTCAAAGAGGAGCCCTATTCCACCTTATTTATGGGAATGGCAATCAGTTAACGAACACATTGTGCCCAGTTAGAACAGGTTATTTAGAAGATCTGGGCAAGAACAGGAGAAGGTGGACTGGGTGTGGGGGCTTGGGAATAGGTATAACAGACACTGCAATTACTCTGGGTGAGAGAAACGAAGCAAAGGGGTCCAAGTTCTCCACGGAGAACAGAGTGTGGACAAGACCAGAGTGAGGAAAAATATTACCACTCCTCAGCAAGACTATGGCAAGGAGTGGTCAGCTCCTTTCTCTCCCTTCTATAATCCCAGTAGAAATGGTAACAAGTTCAAACATTTATAATTACTCTTCCCTCTACATAATCCTTCCTCCGGCAAGGACCTCGAACCACCTCCATCATAGATATTTCAGAAATAGGCACTCATCAATTTAGGGAAATAATAATCATGGGCAAGAGAAGCAAGGAAGCCAGTTCTGTTTCACAGTAGCTCACTGTCTACTTTGCCATTAGGTGCAAATGCCCTGAAAATAATGGCATAGCACCTGCAAATCCAGGCCATGGCTTTCTAACACCCAGCTCTCCCATTCCTTTCTAACACTGCCCCATTTTTCCCCTGGCAGAGCCAAATTTCCTGAAACGTCATGTTCCCACTGTTATACTTGCCATTGAATCTTTAACCCTCGACAATAAAATTATTCAACAATATTTTTGTGTTGCTAAATCAAATGGACTCCTTGCAGTCTCTGCAACATTTGACACTATTGGCTATACCCTCAATCAATCTAATTTTTGACATCCCTCATGGCACTCTCTCCTAGTTTTTCCTCCCAGTTCTCTAGCGTCCCC